CCCGTGGTGGGCAGAGCACAGATAGTCCATTGTGTAGCTTTGTGCATAACTACAAACACATATTATCTGTGTTTACTAGAGCTCATTTTACTTTTATGTAATCAATAATACATTATCTAATAAAAAAAAAACTCTAAAGTACTGATAATGGAAATGAAAAGTTTTTTATGTTCCAAGAAAAAAAACTCTAAATACTGATAATGGAAATGAAAAGTTTTTTATGTTCCAAGAAAAAAAACTCTAAAATACTGATAATGGAAATGAAAAGTTTTTTATGTTCCAAGAAAGTATCTAAATCGTAAGTAATTCAATGTAGGAGCCCGATGGAAGGCCATGTCTAATTCAGAAAAACAACCTTATTATGAGGAACAATCTCGTCTCAGTAAACTGCACATGGAAAAGCACCCGGATTATCGGTACAAACCTCGACCTAAACGGACCTGTATAGTGGACGGTAAAAAACTTCGCATTTCTGAATATAAACAACTGATGAGGTATCGAAGAACCGAAATGAGGAGCTTATGGTAAGTTTTCTTCCAACACGGCTTGCTTTGATAATTGTCAATGTTACAGTTCTTTAAATTCTAGATATCAAATTGTTATGTTTTATGATAATGAAGAATAATCTAACAGGCCCATACGCTTGCTCGTTTCACCTGTATACCATCAAAACACATGAAATTCCATTTGGATATAGAAATATAAAGTGTTAGATTTTTGCAACATCACTCTTATCCAACATAATGCTAGAAGTCAGTTGTGTCTTGGAGATATAAGGTCATTTAACTGTTGAATCGTTAGTTATTGAAGTTCTCTAAGTCGACGGTAATTTGATGTAAAGTCAAAGCGAGGTATTCTACGATCTATGTTGAATTAATTTTATAAACCGTAGCTTTATTTAATTTGAAAGATGAAACAAAAAAATAGACGTAAAAATTACACAAGCTGAGAAAGCACAAAGTAGACATTACTTTCGTTAAGTTTATTCTGCGTAACTGTTTACGTCTAGGTTGAATCCTTTTGTGATGGCTAGTTACAAAAATAATTAAAACACTTAATAGCTGTTGACAAAGCAAAATATTTCAAAGTTCTATTTAAAGACACTGTTCAAATGGCAGACACCTTCAAATCAGTTGCCCTCCATACACAGATCCACCGTTCCCTTTAGACACACTATTCAAATAACAGACACCTTCAAATCAGTTGCTCTCCATACACAGATCCACCGTTCCCTTTAGACACACTATTCAAATAACAGATATATTCAGATTAGTTACTCTCCATACCCAGATTACCCGTTCCATTTAGACACACTGTTCAAATAGCAACCATTTTCAGTTAATTTAACATTTACGCTTAGGTTAAATCCTTTTGCAATGGCTACTGATGTTATCAGGAACTAGTTACAAAAATAATTAAAACACTTAATAAATTTTGACAAAGCAAAATATTTCCAAGTGAATAAGGTGTATGATGGTGATCGGAGTTTTATTCTTGGTCAGACAAAGTTTTCCCTTTTAGCGTGTAAAATTTATTAGCGCTTACAGGGCTCACGACAAAATATTTCCATTAATTTCCGTGATGTTCTATGATCATGACCTCTCCATTTACTTGATGAAATTATGTATTTTACGCCTTTCTCCAATGCTTTATAGATGTCACATTTGCTCCAATTGTAATTAAATAATCGTACGCAATTACAACGTAACTAAATGGTGTCACTAAGTTACATGTATTAAATGAATAATTTTTATTTTCATGTAATGATTTATAAAGTAGCATTTATAACGTAGACATCCTACCAATGAAACCCTCGAGAAGATCATTATCAGTCAATTATAACAAAAAGACACTGTTCAAATAGCAGCCATCTTCAGATCACCTGTTCCATTTAAAGACACTGTTCAAATATCAGATACCTTCAGATCAGTTACGTTTAATGCCCAGATCACCCGTTGCATTTAAAGATACTGTCCAAATAGCAGACATTTTCAGATCAGTTACGCTCCATATCCAGATCACCCATTCAATTTAAAGACATTGTCCAAATAGCAGCCATCTTCAGATCACCTGTTCCATTTAAAGACACTTCAAATATCAGATACCTTCAGATCAGTTACGTTTAATGCCCAGATCACCCGTGGCATTAAAAGACACTGTCCAAATAGCAGCCATCTTCAGATCAGTTGCGTTCCATTTAAAGACACTGTAAAACATTTTGTTTCCTTATTTGTTGAATTTCGCGCATACCTACTCGAGGGCTATCTGCGCTAGCCGTCCCTGATTTTGAAGTAATAGACTAGAGGGAAGGCTCGTTTTGGCAACATAAAGGCATGTTGGCTGAGATGTGTGGCCGGATGCTTTTTGCTGATGAAGCCATACCTTTTTGGTATCCAGGTTATATGAATTAGTAATTTCCTTGCCGTATGGCCTGTTAGTCTAAAAGTCTAACTTACATTAGTGTAGAGAAATATGTGGGGGGTATACATACGGCTTTCTGCACAGTTGGTCAATGTAAGCTGACCTGACATATCACACACCAGGCACTATGCATGGATCATGTAGCAAGAGTTTTGTGGCGTGCAGTACCTCTGGCTTGATTTGGGATTATTGGTTACATGTCCTGTCCCTCGTATCTCCCTAGCAGGAATGGACAGGAATGGCCTACTTGTTTGTTGCATCTGCAGCAGTATGCCTAGAATGCTACCTCAGTGCTGCAGCCATTTTTATGATACATCTCCATTTGTCCCAAATATAACAATATATTTTGCCTTACACAAAATAATAGTTGTCTGTTCCATCCTGTGATTATATATCAGCCTAAATTGCATATAAACATATATTGTCCTATTGCCTTTTCCATTTCCAGAAACTAGCAGAGTGCTTTTTCTGTTATCCACCATGCATTTATGTAAGGTTGTTGTTGCTATTTGTTATTAAGCACAAAGCTACATAAAGGGCTATCTGTGTTCTGCCCACCACGGGTATCGAAACCCGGTTTCTAGCAGAACATGTCCGTAGACATACCGCTGTGCCACAGGGGGGCTTTTTATGTAAGGTATTTTACCAGTTTGCTTTACAGACTGTTGAAATGTCCACGCTGACTTTATAACTACCTTGTGCTTTTAAACTGTTTTGATGACACAGCTATACAGAGGGTGCTCATAATTTATGATAATAATTGGAGGATAAGTGACTAGGGGTTTCAGACACTTTTTTTTTCACCATCAACAGTGTTCCTCTCCACTTTTACAAGCTTCCAAAATCCATCAACCATGTGCAGACGACGCCTTCTGTGAGCTCATTTTGGCAATACAAAGGCATGTTGGCTGAGATGTGTGGCCAGATGCTTTTTTGTTGAAGAAGCCATATCGTTTTGGTATCCAGGTTGTACAAATTGGCTGATGACCTGTTAGCCTACCAGTTTAACTTACATTATAATTGTAACATGCATTCACCATAAATTAATTTGAAAAACGTTTTCAACATGTTTTGCACCATTTCTTAAATGTTGTAGCACTAACAGAACTATCACAAATTATCTAAGACTTTGCTGCAAATACTTAACTTGAATATACTTTATTGAATTTGCATACTTCCATTTATAAACTTTCATATTCCACTCGTGTAGCTTTCAATCGTTCATTTTCTAGCTGTTTGTTGCTTTTGTATATTTTTATTCATGTAAATTATCTTTTTTTTATAGTTTCTAGTGAGGTTCTTAATTTAGCTGCAATGTACAACTGAGTTATTGGGCTACTATAAATTATAAACTGTTTAACTTTTTTCTTTACTAGCTCCAGTGAATGACTTGTAGTGAGTCATGGAACAGCCTGTTTTGTTTTTGTTTTTTTTTCGTGCTGGAGTTACGCCTTCCCTTGCTTTACTGATATGGTTTAACACTACAGATAACACTTTCTTTGAATCACTAAAATGTCATGTCTTGCACGCTTTTATAATCTTGATCCCTACACTTCAGCTAATTTTCAACAAGGTCAGGATTTTTAACTTGTGCAGTCACAGGCTACTAGGATAACCAGAGGCAAGGTGATTGGATATGCATATTGTTACCAAAGGTTTTTCACCCTCTTAGCCCACTAATTATTTTATGTTGAAAATTTAATGTAATATAGTTGTAGGCTTTATGAATGCTTACAATTTTAGAGTTAGCATTCTCACCAAAATATTCGTGATTATTCTAAATTGTTTACAAAATTAACTGTTGTTTCCAATTTTAAACTATTCGAAAACCTTTAGATTAGATATATTGGAGCACTTGTATCGCATCACATTGAACTACACCTCAAACAGAAATTGTAAGTATACAAGTATTGTACAAAATTTTAAACAAACATGTTAAACAAAATGTAATATTATACACAATTCATATTTTAGGTAAAGCAATCTTGACCATTATCGAGTTTTTGTTTATATACAGTATCTAGGTTTGTAGATGTGAGATCAAATAAGAAATTGTAAAATTATTTTGATATTGACTTTTAGGTAGAAATCATTTTTTATGTAATATGATGCAATTCACGATGAGTTTTATATATTAGGTACCGTGATGGAACTGTAGGATTGTTGGAACCACCAACTTTTGTCAATCCTACAAGTATTGCCTCCCTTTTAGCTGCTACTTCTAGTGGGACTTCTACTTCTGCTGACTTAATTCAATCCTTCACATCAAATAAAGTACCTACAGGTTACACAAACGCACCTATGACCATAGTAAGCCATTCTTTATCCAATCTCCCAGCCAAGGTTACAAACACTGTTCTATCGAAGGAAACAGGTTATAACATAATGGAAACTTCTACATGAAACATGAACTTTGATGCATCTAACAATCAATGAAGAGGAAGAGGTCATCTAAATACGCTTATGCTATTTTTTTTTCAAGTTGTTGGTGGTTGTACCAAACTCTCCTTATTTATAAGGATAGCGCAATGGTAAAAAAATAGGTATAAACTACGAAATAACATATTGAACTCCCTCAACCTCAAAGCAAGGGAATAGGTTTTAATTGCTAGTGACTTGGAAGAAAGTGATTACAAATTCAACGTTTTATACATACATATATATATATATATTATGTGCTTGTGTTTTTAAGTGTTGACTTATTATCAAAAATTGCCCATGTTTCTTTAATGGGTAAATTGGTGTTCCATAACATTTCTGTTTCTTTTTTTTTTAATTGTCTCAAAAACGCTATATTTGTGGAATCACCATCATCTTTGGTGATTACTGTTCTTTAATGTTAAAAAATGACAAAGCCTTTTATAAATGCCTGCTCAAGATGACTTTTCTTCTAGTCTGTGATGATGATAAGTCTTTGGACATTTACGAGAAGTTTTTCTTTATATGCTAATATTGTTAACCAAGTGAAATAGATAATCCAAAATGGCTGCTCTGTTACTAAAGAATTTTTTTTCTGTATTTTTTCTTGTGTAACGTTTAATAATATATTTTTATTAACTAATTTGTTAGTCAATAACATTAGAGTTTTAAAAATCCTACATTTCTCTATCAATTTTTGTACAATTCTACTTTGTACCGTTTCAAGAGAACTACTTCCAACTATACTGTAATGGTTTCAAGGTTACATACTTCATTTTTTGACCACAAACATTTGCTTACTCCATGATATATGACTTAGTTTCCAACTGAGAAAATTTTGATTGCCAGTATTTTGAATGTCTGTCTCTTAGTATTGTTTCATTTTACCGTCATAAATACTGTTAACAGCTAACTTGATTTCACAGTGAACATTGTTAAAGGTGTGTCTATAAAAGGTGATGACAAGTTTCAGAAATACTTGGAATGCATTTGATGTTACTGTAAATTTTGTTCTTGAGATTAGTGAAAAAAAGGATTAAATGTCGCGACAAATCTTTCAATTACCAGTATATATTCAACTGGAGACAACAGTGCCATAAATAACATGTTCCTAACTGATGTGAGTGTTTGTCAATAGACTAAGTTCTCAAAACAGAAGAGAACTTTAGTAGTTAGTAGTTTATATTCTCACACTAGTCTCTTCCATAAACAGGCAGCCAAGAATGCTGTGCCAATTGTTAAAGTGATCATCTCGTCTGTGTTACGGCAGCTGTTGTCTTTTTAGGTATCATGAAATAACAAAAGCTGTTTAACATACGCCGAGTAAAGTATAATGTAGTTTCTGCTCATTTTCTTGGATAAACATTATGTTAAATAAATACATCAATAATTAGATGGAACTACACGTTACTTAGTTCTGATAACATTGCAGTCAGTCATCACCTATTAGTGAGTCTTTTAGTTATCAGTCGTGTTACTTCTTTACTCTCAATTCCAAGTTTCATAGGCTTAGGTTATGATGGTATTAAATTAGGTTTGTGTTTTTATGTTAACTTTATTTTAAGTGGTGAAAAAAATGCACTTTAAGCAATTTTAATTCAATGTACCGATGAAAGATATTTTCATCCAAACACGATATCTGATTTTGTTGGAAGCAGTAAGTTTAATAACGTACTGACTAAGTTGATCAGATCAGATGTTATCAAAAACTTACTTCGCCTAAAGGTAAGATAATAGAAGGATCTATAATTTGCCATACAAAGGGCATTTAGAATTCAATTCTTTTAAATATACATTTTTTATTTCACATTTGTATAAAAAACAAGAGGCCAGTGTATTATTCATTAACATAGTTTTGACAGCTGTAACTAATGTGGGCAGGTATAATGTTAGATGTTTTGATGTATGAGTAGAAGAAGCAAGTTTAACGTTGTCCTGTAGGAGAGGCTACCGATAATAAAGTTTTGAACTTTTCAAATCAAGAAACTGAGAAAATTATCTGTATGATTTCTCACACAGAAGTAATCATAGCAGTTGTTTGGGGAAAATAATCTGTTGTGGCACTATTTGTATGTAAAGTTAGGGGTAATAAAGAATTTTACTGAAAAACACAAAGAAATCTCGAGTTGATATATTGTGTCTTGTCATCCACACACACACAGAAAGAAATCTAGAGTTGATATATTGTGTCTTGTCATCCACACACACACAGAAAGAAATCTAGAGTTGATATATTGTGTCTTGTCATCCACACACACAGAAAGAAATTGACAAATATTAAAAAGGCATATTATTTTATATATCAGAATCTAAGTAAATATATATTAATTAGTACTATCGAAGCCACTTTAATTATTTTAAAATATGATTAAAACTAACAAGTAAATATGTGTGCATGAGCTGAGAACATTTTTTTGTTTTTAAAGTCACATTGGGTTATCTGTTGTGTCCACCACAGGGAATCGAATCCCTGATTTTAGCGTTCTAAGTCCATAATCTTAACCCTGCCCTTCACATTTCTCTTTATTTTTAGCATCTGGAGTTTCTGAGAATGAATAATTTAATTTCAGTTGTGAAGGCTCTTATTTTGTAAAGAACTATGATAGCATTATATACTTCTGTTATTTTGTGATTACAAGCATTATAATATTTTAATAAATGCCACTAAAGTGCTTTATATCAAACTGCTGTACCACAGCTGACAGAAAAGTGCTGAGAAATATCACTTGTAAGTTAAAGTTATTTTTAATAACCAGATGGAACATAATCTGCTCTGGGTTATTAGAGATATCACACATGTATTTGGTTTAGTTTATACTATTACAAGCAAGTTTAATCTACACGTAAAACAAGAATATTAATTTTAATTATAAAAAGGCTAATGTTATCCTTTTAATATTTCTGTATGAAGATTTGGTTTGTTTGTCTGTTTTGCATTTCGCGCAAAGCTACACGAGGGCTATCTGCGCTAGCCGTCAACATCACCCAACGCCAACGTTTATACTACTCTTTTACTAACGAATAGTTTGTTTGTTTGTTTGTTTTGGAATTTCGCGCAAAGCTACACGAGAGCTATCTGCGCTAGCCGTCCCTAATTTAGCAGTG